TTTTTTTTTTTTTTATATTCATAATAAAAGAAAATTTGACGTAGCTGGTTTTGTCTTCACTGCAATCAATAAAGCAAATCTTATCGGGTGAAAGATATGGTTGCTGGGCATCTCAACTTGTAGGCTCTAACACTGCAATGTAGACCATTTTGCAACAACCATGGAAACCCTCATGCACTACCAACAGAAGTTTCCAGCAGGAAAAACTAAATTTATTTTAGAAGGCTATAATTATAACTAGTCAAATACTTTTATGTGCAAGATATAAATCATTCAGACTGTATTCTGGAAGGCATTTTGCATAGTTGATGCATTTTTTGTACAAAGTATATAAAATTAGTAAGTTCAGCAAAAAAAAAAACATTTGAAAAAAACTTATTAAGTATTTGTAGATTTTTTGCGCTTCAAGAAAAACATAATTAAGGAAATAAAGGGTTAACTGTTAATTAATCAATAATGTGGAGCAATTAAGCTAATAATTCATTATTTTGTAGTTTTTGAGAAATTACTAGTGTCCACAAAATCAAACATTTAAATTAACTTAATGGTCAATTTAAAAGCCAGTAATTTATTATCTATCCCTAATTAATGTTCATATCACTATTTATCAAAAATGATGAGTAGCTTATCATCAAGCATTAAACTTAATTGGTTTAATTAAAGGGTTAAATTTCAATATCATCATAAGCCAACTCCCAACAATTTGGGATCACTTCATGAATCCTCATTCTGCATTTGCTCATGTTGACCATTACATGAAGATTTAAACCAAAATGTTTTAACTCTCAACTAACCATAAATTCATAACTATATATGAGTAATGGCACAAGGTCAAATACTTGGTTGATGACCACAATATAAATTTTATTTTTGCCCACCCAAAAATTCACAAATTGGGAGATTATTATTGAGTAGACAGCAAGCAAATCCAGGGCATTGGCAACAACTTCCAAAGCCCTCGTCAACTAGCCTAGTTCGTAACCGTAACCACCACTGATAGCTATAAGCTTAAGCACCAATATAACCTTAATCAATAAAAACTTTTCATTTAAAACAAATGGGCAGCATATCCAACTATATCATTCATTTGTACAGAAAAAAAAATTCTCATTAAATTCTTATTTTCTAATATCTTAGATTACTTAAATAAGATAAGTGGGTTTACACTTGACAACCTAAGAACCATTAAGGCTCAAAAGACAGCACACCAGAAAAATGTTGTAAGATCAATGATGTTAAAAGTGGATTAAGGAAGACATTAGATAGTAGGGCAAATAAGGTCCCATGATAGAGCCCAGGTGATGGAGATCCATCAACATGTTCCTCATAGAACAAAATATACTAAATGTAGTTATAATAGATCCTTATTTATCACGAGAAAACAGCTTCATGAACTTCTGTCCCACTCTATTCAAAGGGAAAACATAATCTTATGATTCAAAGTGAATAGTGCACAAATTGCAAGATCAGAGGCCACATTTACAGGACATATATTGGGTAGCATAGAAAGGAAGAGAAATGCATCACATAAACTTAATAAAAAAGGATAAAAACCATATGTTCATTTGATTAATTAATCTAGATCAGTTTCCAAAAGTAGAGCCATCTAGTAAATCTAGTATATGGCATAGAAAAAACGCCCATCTAAGCACAGGCTGCAGAGGGAGGGAGGGAGTGAGGGAGAATATGCAGCAGCGTTTGACCAAGCGATCCATGAAAATAGAAGAAAACATAAAATCAAATGTGGATGCGTTGCTAGCAGAGAGATGAAAATAACGTCCTTTAAAGAACAATTCAATAAAAAACTGGGGTTTTAGGTCCACTTCTTGGAAGAGAAATATGTGGCCTGAAATCGATACTTAAATTGCAACAAGAGATTTCCATCTCTTCAATGAGCCACCGATTAATACCATTTACGAAAATATCGTGAAATAGTAATTTTCATAGCAGTTGTGGAGGTGATCGGTTCAGCTAAGTTCTCCACTTAATTTAAACCCACCCAATACAAATTCTTCTTCAACTCCCATATAATTCGATGCTACTAATTTTCATAATCAAAAGCAACATGAAACCCGTACTTTTTGAAGATTTTCAGACCTTAAAATTCCATTAAAAAAGAGTAGGACTTGCATCCCGATTACGGATTTTCAAATCTTGAATAAACACGCCAAAGCAAAATCGACAAGATTTCTTTCATCATCCATAGAAAAGTAAAAATCCTAAAGACTTATTTGGTTCCAAAATTCTTCTGTCGAGAAATTTGAGAATCAACAAAATATTACAAACATAGCTTATTCGAATAAAAAAAGTTCGAACGAGAAGTTCGAATGCCAAAAATAACAACCAAAGACCTGCAAACTGACGCGTAAACGTGAAATAAGCAGACGAATTTGTGAACCTACCTTTGAAAGGAGCTGAAACCCTAATTTGAAGCTCGATTCTGACACAGATCTCGAGCAAGCCGAGAAGAAGGAAATTCCAAATACTATATAATAAACAGCCAATACTTCTTATGAGTAATTATGACTTTTGTAGAGAATAGAAGAAGCACGGATTGGGGAGGGTACGTGAAATTGAATAACGATCTTCCCAAATCCGAACCACGATCCAACTGCGACTCCCATGCGAAAAGTTATTTTAGCATTTACAATCGACTATGAGTGTGATAATTAAAATTATAATTTATTGAAAATTTAGTTAGGCCTATCGTAATTAGTAAATTAATTTTATATTATCCGATTTATTGACCCAATATTTTTTTTTTAAATTTTTGGTTAGAAATCATAGAGATTCTCTTATTATTTTTAAAAAATAATTTGATATTTATTAAATGAAATTTATGCGACCAAGAGATTTTCACAAGTAGAAATGATTCAAGCCCTAAATATATTCAAGGGGGATTTAGATGCTTAACCCCCAAATAGTTGCTTATTTATATATCTAGTATATCCAACACCCAAAACTTCAAAAATACTCAAAAGTAGCACTCCATCTTTCTTAATTACCTCTTATGCATGTCTTCCCCAAATTTCTTACTTCCATTACTCTGACTTGCCCACAAATCATCTTTTTTGCATACTTGGAATATCATATTCCATGTCTTCTCCCCTTCATATTTCCATGCCATGAAGTCATAGCTTCTTGCAGAAATCATTGGCTTTTGATTTCACATTTGTGCATGCAACCTTGTAATACTATCTTTGTAATCAATATTCGTAGAGCTATTAAGGAATCTTAGAGCTAGGTCATAAGTTTTATTATTTTGAATATCAAAATTATTTGTGTGTTTAAAATAATTGTTGATTGTTATTGAGGCACCTCGAAATATGGTTTGTTTGGATATCAAATTTTTACATTATTTGAACCATTCAACTGTACTCTTCATAAGGTCAAACTTCTTTTCGGGTTTTATGGGCAGGTTCTATGATGTTTGTTGTTGGTGTTAACTCAAGTCAATAGAATTTTACAAAAGCTCTTAGAAGATCCACAGTTATATTTGATGGATATGTTGGACGGTTCATCATAAAGTATATCCTTAGTTACATCTTTGACGTTATTGTTGTTTCAATTTTGAATCTCCCTAATTCTTTAGGTGAGAAAAATAATATATTTTGAGAATCTTTTGATATATTAAATAGGGCATATACGTTAATAGCACACAAATCTTACTTATTTACATATCTCACACCTATATTTTTATATGTACACATATAATTCAAATAAATTTCCCATGAAAGGTTCTATGTAATCTCCTTGTTATACCCATTTTAGTAATGATCACTTTGTGCAAATTCGTACTAAACTTGATCAATTTATTTCTTATATTCATGACAATCCATTGAAACAACTTTTCATT